AAAAAAAAAAAAAAAAAAGAATTTGAAGTCCGCAACAAAAAACCACAAATGCAATGAAAATATTGTTTTATAAACGAGACTTACAACATAACCACTTTACTATCGAGACATTCAACGCCCGACCACAAGCACGGATCACAATCGTCAGGAACCCAATCAGCTAATGCTCCATACGGGTCAAAGGCCACATTTGCTTGAAATTGTAACAAAGCCAATCCTGCATTTTCCCTCACTTTTTCAAGTCAATCACTAGACAACATGCCAAAACTTAAGAATCACAGTTTTTCCTCCTTTTTTATTCCTAATCAAATTATGCTCAAATTACCTTCGGAATTGATCGACCAGCATCCATGAATTTCAAGAACCAAAATCAGAAGCACCAAAGTCCCGCTACTGGTCCGACTATTCCCCATCCGTTGCAGTTCGTGCCAACGGCCAATACCAAATACAATTTAATGAATAAAATCGCCAGCTTTTTTGGTGTGAATTAACCTCCGAGCAATATCGATATACTCGAAAAGAAAAAGAGAGGGGAAACGACAAAAACACCAATAGAACAACAAACCCAACAATATCTTCAGCTCACAAAAATTCTAGCTACAACTAGGCACAGACTAAAGAGAAAGCAAAAGAATCTACATTAGCCCTCATGAATCTATTAACAAAATCGGGGTCCCTCATCTTCAACCAGATCTTATTATGGCTACAAAGCCGTTTTCACCAGCTGCATAACCGGGCTTAATGGACTATATTATCCTCCAAGATTCCACCTTTAGCTGAAAATGCACGCAAGGAAGCATAGTAAATCAATAAAGAGACATGAAAAAAACAGAAAATGTCTTCTTAATTCATCGAAACAAAAGAGAAAATAAAAACCAATAACAACAAGAACATAGAATAATCGTTAAGACAAGCAATAATGCAGCATCATACGAGGGAAAGCTAAAGGGCATGTATGTAAATACAAGAAGATGCGAAAACCCAAAGAATAAAAATGCAAAAGGAAAAAAAAAAACTCACCCCAATGACGATAAAATAAATTCTTGAATTTTGTGTAAAAATGGCGATTTGGGTTCCTTAATCTGTGTAAAAATTTCGTCTTTGAAGCAAAAATTGCAGAGGTTCCCAAAGGTTGACGATGGTACAACGTGGGGGGGAATGAAATCTGCGGTTGGGCACTCAAAATGGGCACAAATATGAATAGAATTTTGATGTTTTTCTTGATGCCCTTTTTCAGAACGATGGTCTCAGAGATCAATCAAAGCTCTCCTCGACCACCTTTTGTCTGAAAGGAGGGGAAGAGAAGAAAGAACATTATTATCTCTCTTTAGAATTTGCTCTGCGTCTAAAACAAAATAGGTTTGTTCTCTTCCTTCCACTCCTCAAACCTTACCCGCCCCACGACCTCCAGCAGGAACAAGCCTCACAAAAAATGATGACCTTGTTTTATTATCATCATCATTTTTATTATATAAAATAATTTCTTTTTAATTATTTAGTAGGATACGGAAAATTTTATCATTAGTCAAAATTTATTTCGTTCAAATCATAATTGAAATATTGTTTTTTTTTTTTAATTATCATTTTATCTCAACCTCATTTATACAACTAAAAAAAGTATTTATGAGTGTATATTTTCCAATAAAATACATTTTATCCAAATGCATATAAAAAGCTATTAAATGGAATGAGCCCGTTGTTAATTAGGCTTGGCTCATTTGATAAACGGTCCGAGTTCGAGTTCATTAAAATTCCGTTTAGTTAATGAGTGAGGCTGTATCTGTTCGTTGAGACTCGAAAATAATAATTCTTATATAATTTTTTATAATCTAGCCTTGTTAATATTGATGGACGAGCTCGAGCTCGAGCTTCGATTCGTTTACAATCTTATTCGCGTTTGTTTAGACTTTATCAATAATTTATTAGTATTTCTTTATTCACATCAATTTATTCATTATCTTTTTTATATATATTCAATTTAAAATTTCAATTTTAAAAAAATAAAATAAAACTAAAAAATCATCGGTTTACGAACAGGAAAGTCGGAAATCTTTACGGGGTCGGTAAGTCGTAACTTTCTTTAAAAGTCGGCTCGTCCGTTTGCTGCTTGACCGAGGTTCAACACTTCCCGAGGTCATTCGTGAAAGGTTTGGGGACATGTCTAGTGCGTCAAACTCTTCGATTTTAATCACTCCAATTTTAAAAAAAGGTAATCAAAGTCGATCGCCAACAACAATTTTTAAACCGCATATTATTTCCTAAGTTATGGGGTGAAAAAAGAAGTTTTTTTGATGGGACTATATGCAAAGGAAGTTGCTTGTATATATTGAAGTATAACCGTATAAAGGATGTTTGCCCTTAATTTGAATTATTTTATTAAATAAATTTAGCAAAAATGAAAAATAAATAGAGAATAAAAAAGATAGGAGCCATGGAGGCGGGCTGATAATCAGTAAGAGACTCGAAGGAGTTGATATTTAGTTCGTACATAGTGTATATTTCGTTATAAATTTATAATTAATTCATACATTACATACTTAGTTAATATCAGTTACATATTTTGATTTTTTTAGTTCATACATAATTGCATATTTAGTTGATATAAATTGTTGTTTGACGACTAATATACATAATGCATATTTAGTTTATATTTTATACATAATGCATACTTAGTTTGAAAAGTGACATATATACACAATGCATATTTAATTCATACACATTACACAATGATATAAGCTTAATTGATATCAAATGCCGACGGTCAACAGCAGCCGACAATCAATATCGGTCAATGATACGCCAACGGTCAACTAAAATTTAAATAATTTAAAAAATTAAAAGATTAAATGCTCACCCATTTCATCATACTAATAAAGAAAAGAAAGATTGAATTTCACGAGTTTCATTATATCCAATCACTAGTATAATCTGTACATTTGTTAGAAAAATCAGTTATAAAACTTGGGTTTGACCCAGTTTTGACCGAATTTTTTATGGCTAAATATTTAATTTGAGTTGAATTAAATATTGTAGAAAAATTCTACGTTCCGAGTAGATACTCGTGGTATATTTATTTTCTCAAAACTGATTTTCGTTGAGTGAGAAATAAATTGTTAAAGTTAGCCATAAAAGGACACGTAAAACATTGGTTGTGGGATTTGAAGGGTCAAGAGTCACTCCCACATTGGATTCTTAAATGAGTTTAACTCTCTTTATTATAATAAAGAGAGTTGGAGAGGTTACAACAAGCACAAAGCTATGCACCAAGTGTTGGTGTTGTTTTCGGCCACACGCGCGCGCCCGCCCGCTGGCCGGCCGGCTCGGGCACGGGCCTAGGACTTGGGCCTTGGTCCTTGGTTCTTGGTTCTTGGTTCTTGGCAATTGGACTTTGGGATGGACTTGGGCGGCCTTGGGCGGTTGGGCCTTGGGCCCAATCACTGTATATCTTTTTGCTGCAAAATTATTTCCAACTTTAGGCCCAATTGAAAAATTCAATTCTAGTTGGATTTGGACTCGGGTTTTGACCCAACCCAAGTGAAACCTCTCCAGTACAATGAACCTGGACACATGACTCTTCATGTGAAATGTAACAGCTCAGGTGATGAAGGGTTAATGGTGTTAATGGTGTTAACTCCTCCTGGTTAATGGTGTTTTAACACCTGAAACGTTTTGAGGTTAATGGTGTCATTTATCTCAGCCTTAAGTGGCTGTTGTGACTCTTGGTTCTCCCTCAGATGTGGAAGTCCTATAAATAGGACTTAGAGCTGGAGAGAAAAGTACACACAACATTTCATGCACTCTGATTATTCTCAAAGCCTCACGCATCATATCATACTGCTCTGTTCTCGACTTCATTCCAGTTCGTCGGAGCTCGAATTCTGGTCTGCTACAGCGTTCGAGACGTAAGCCGTTGTATCTTTGGGGACGAGACGTCTGTACCCGTCAGCACTATACGGGGCGTTTTCGTCTTGCGGAAAGAGCAATCGCCTCGGCAATTTTTTCGCTTCTCTTTTGCAATTTCGATTCTGTTTTATTTCACTTTGTAAGAACTGAAATCATCATCTTCAGTTCATAGGTTCTCGTTGTAATTTAAACACACATTGTCTAACAATCGCAAGACGAAAATTTCGACACCTACTGAACTGATGGCATCCACTGGAGAAGGATCAAAAACTCAACCACCTGTCACCCCCGCTGTTCATCATCCCCAACCTGCTGTTCATGTTCCCACTGCTGAGAAGCCCGAAAAATTCAACGGGCTTGATTTCAAGAGGTGGCAACAGAAGATGCACTTCTACCAGACCACTTTGGGTTTGGTGAAGTACCTAAAAGACGACCCTCCTGTCGTGGCTGAAAATGAATCGATGTTGAGCTGCGAGCTGCATACGATGCTTGGGGGCAAGGTGATTACCTTTGCCGGAACTATGTCCTCAACGGACTGAGTAACGAGTTGTACAATGTGTATAGCTCGGTTGGCTCTGCCAAGGAGCTTTGGGCTGCCTTGGAGAAGAAATACAAAATTGAGGATACCGGGGCGAAGAAATTCGTCGTCGGCAAATTTCTGGAGTTCAAGATGGTCGACACTAAGACCGTCGTGTCTCAAGTGCAAGAGTTCCAACTCATCTTGCACGACATTCATACTGAAGGAATGTCTCTGAGCGAGTCATTCCAAGTTGCGGCTGTGATCGAGAAACTGCCGCCGGGTTGGAAAGACTTCAATAACTACCTCAAGCACAAGAAGAAGGAGATGAGTCTTGAAGATCTGGTTGTTCGTCTTCGGATTGAAGAGGACAATCGGAAGTCTTCGGAGAAGGCCCCGATGATGGAAGCTCGTGCCAACTTGCTGGAGCAAGGCAACTCGAGCAAAAAGAAGCCCCTTAACAAAGGGAAGCAACAACCTACCAAAGTGTGGAAATTTACCGGCAATTGCCACAACTGTGGAAAGCCGAACCATATGGCTAAGGACTGCAAGAAGCTTAAAAAGGCTGGTCTGAAGAAGGCACAACATGGTGCCCTCATTGCTGAACACGGCCCTGTGCCGAGTGAACTAACCGACATGGATATGTCGGCTGTGGTGTTTGAAGCCAATTTGGTGGATAACCCAAGGGCGTGGTACATTGATACTGGTGCCACTCGCCACGTGTGTTCCGACAAGGGGTTGTTTTCTGAATACACTCCTTTAAATGGTCGGAAGCTCCACATGGGCAACTCCTCCTCGTCTGATGTGGCTGGAGTTGGCATCGTGGTGCTAAAGCTAACTTCTAAAAAGAATTTAAAGCTTAAGGATGTGCTGCATGTCCCAGACATCCGCAAGAATTTGGTCTCTGGATCTCTTCTTGTAGAGCATGGTTTTAAGTTAGTGTTTGAAGTTAAGAAGTTTATTCTTAGCAAGTATGGTAAATTCTTTGGTCGT